ATATTAATACATACTTATTCTAGAAACTTCAGTCAACACAGAAAATTAGAGAGGTAACAATAAAAATCATCAATAATGCTACCAATTACAGATGATAATTTTACCATTTTGATTCATTTCCTTCTAGATCTTCCTCCTATGCACTGTTATATGTTACTAGAGGCCCGATGCACGAAATTTGTGCTGCTTGCCTCGGCCCTCGCAACCCTGGCTTTGTCCGGAAGTTCATTCGGCTGTCAGGTCTAATTAGAATATTACACTTTTATTATTATAGATGTTAAATTCTATCAGCTCTATTATAACAATATTATAACATAAGCATTTCCCTTATTTGCAATTCTTTGTAAGAAAGATATGCCATCATTCTGTCATCCACCTCCTATTGCTGTACATTGGTATTGTCTAGAGAGGGGTAATATCTAAGCAAACACTAACCCCTTGCACCTTAGTGTGAATGTTTCGGATTCTTTTTCCTTTATTCATCATCCAGCCAAGTAAAATATACCAGAAGTGAAAAAATGGCCATTCCTGCCCTCAGAAGAGAGAAAGCTGTATAAAATATGATAAGGGCTTGAGTAAAGCTATATGCAAAACACTGTGGCAACAAAAAGGAGAGAAGGTTGACCACTCGGGAGTGGTCAGAGGAGGTTTCACAGAGGAGGCACCATGTGAGGATTTGGGGGCTGTTTGCTTGTTAACTGCTTTAAAAAAAAATAACTAAGACTTAATTTTGAAAAGCGTTGGGAGAATGCTTCAGGAATCTTTTCTTACCTAGACTCCCTGAACAGACCACCTCTGCTGCGTGAAAAGCTGGACCACACCTTTTTACGCACCCGCTAAAGGTTTCCTGGAAGACTGGGGAATTGTCCCCCAGAGCATAAGGGGGAAGAAGCCTGAGGGCACTCGGGCCTGAAGGGATGGGACTGGAAAGAAGCCAGCACAAGTGCAAGCTTGAAAGACCAGAACAAGCTCTGCCACTCCCACACTCATCCACGCCTTGCTTTGCATTTCCGTATCCTGACTCCCACTGTCTGTTCTCTGCTTCTTTCAAACAGGCGTGTCTTGTCTTCCTCCAGTAAGTTCCTGAAGTTTAGTGCAGACAGCAATTATGCAAATGCACTGAGCCACCGCCTGGGTTTGAGGCCCAATTGCCAGCCTTCTGAGTGCTCACATTTCTGCCCAATGTGTCTAACTCACTCAGTCTGCAGACATGGCCACAGGCAAGTGACAGATGTGCCTCTTCTGGCCTACAGATTCTTCACCTCAGATGCTTTTCTTGCTTTTCTAAAAGAACCTTTTCATTTATTTATTTATTTATTTTGTTACTCCTTACCTGAAGATATTTTTTCCCCATTGATTTTTAGACAGAGTGGAAGGGAGGGGAAGAAACAGAGAGAGAGAAACATGATGTGGAGAGACACATTGATTGGTTGCCTCCCTGCACACCCTCTGTGACTGGAAATGAACCTGGGACCCTTCAGTCTGTGGGCCGATACTCCAACCACGGAGCCAAACCGGCTAGGGCTTCTTTAACTTTTTAAAATTGAGATATTATTGCTTAATATAACATTATATAAATTTCAGTTTCCAGATTCCAGGCTAGGCCAGCTGGAGCCAGACATATAGACTTACAGTGCTCCTCAACCACCCCCCTTAAAGTAGCCACCACTCCACACCACAACCCACATAATTCAATCTGTGTTTTTTCTCTCCAGAGCAGGGATTGCTTTCTGAAATTATCTTCTTTGTTTGTTTGCTTGTTTATTGTATTCCTTCTAAAAATACAGTTAGAGCAGGAATCTTGTCCCAAAGCTTAACACAGTATCTGACACTAATGACAGAACAAAGAGGAAATGTGACCCCCAAAGATGATTACCGTGACACAGCTCTAGGTACTAAAGAAACAAATAAGATAATACTCCTGACTTCCAAAGCTCACAGTCTAATAAGGAGAGAGAATAAGAAACAAAATATTTGCAATGTAGTGTAACAAGCAGAATCACAGATGAAGAATTAGGTACAGAGGTAGTATAGAGGAAGGGGCCTACCTATTTTCTAAAAGAAGTGATTTCTGAACTTCTTTTGAAAGAATTAATGGAAATTTGCCAGGGAAATAATGAGGGAAATACTTACAACAGGGCCCCTTGGATCTTTACTCAGACCTGAACACTGACCTCATTTCCCTTCCCCATGGAAATTCAGGGTTAAAAATACCCTTTAATATCATCCAGTCCAGCAGTTCTTGAAGACTGTTGTTTTAAAATATGTCCACAAATTCTCTGACACTCACTTCTTCTGAGGAGCCTAAAGGATATTATATTAAATAAGCTAGACAGAGAAAGATCGATAACGCATGATCTCATTTATATGTTGACTCTCAAAAAACAAGAAGTTTCTAAGCCAGTGTGGCTCAGTTTGTTGAGCTTAGTCCCATGCACCAGGAGGTCACTGGTTCGATTCCTGGTCAGGGCGCATGCCTGGGTTGCAGGCTCAATCCCTAATAGGGGGTGTGCAGCAGGCAGTCAATCGATGTTTCTCTCATAGATGTTTCTATCTCTCTGAAATCAGTTTTGTTTTTTGTTTTTTTAAAGTTGAACTCATAGAAACAGAGAAGTAGAATGGTGGTTACCAGGAGCTGGGAGGTGGGAGAAATGGGGAGATGTTGGTCAAAGGATACAAGCCTCCAGTGATAAAATAAATAAGTTCTGGGGATCTAATATACAGCATGGTTAATAATAATGTGTTGTATTCTTAAAATTTACTGAGAGTAGATTTTCAGTAAGCATTCTCACCACAAAAAAAAAAGCAACTGAGGTGACAAAAGGGTTAGTTAATCTTATTGCAGTAATCATTTCACTATATATGTATATTAAATCATCATGATACTAGTATACACTTTACATACCTTATAACTGTTAATCATACCCCAATAAAACTGAAAAACACATAAAGAAAATTAATATATAGTTATAAAAAACCATCATACTTTAAATACACAGAATTTCATTTGTCAATTATATGTCTCTAAAACTGGGGAAAATAAATAAATAATAAAAAGAAAAAAGAAAAAAGAGGGAAAAACAAAATGAACTGAATGAAAGAGACTTGCTGATATTTTCAATCTAATTCAGAATGATCCATTCAGAATAATTATTTCATATTACATTACAGGGTTTAAAGAACGTAAGATTGTCCCTGAAAAAAATCTAAATGAATATCACACAATTAATAGAATTCATTCAGCCATTTCTTACCTTTTCTCACTGTATAATAGAGAACAATACAAGATTAGTATTTTACTCTTAATTGTAATAGCTATCATTTTTAAGCACTTACTATATCAAGGATTGCACTAAGATCTTTTTAGCTTTAGCTTATTTAATTCAAATAAACCTACTAAGTACTATTGTTATACCCACTTTATAGATGGGAATGCTGAAGTTTAGAAAACATATGGCCAAGGTCTCAGAACTAGAAAGTGGCAGAGAAGAAACTGTGTTAGGCAAGAAATGAACTTTAGGGCATCTGAGGAAAGTGTGCACTTTCACACTGATTGGAGATATTTGAAAACTAACAAAATGAGGGAAGAAACAAGAAAAAATAGACTTAAGTGCATAAGAGTGATATTAATCAGAGTCAATTTGTGTGTGCTTCCAATCACGTTTGTTGTGCAACATGACAGCAAATCGCACAGATGTTGTGTGTGTTTATTATGTTTTATTTTATGGCAACAAGTTCTTCCCACCCCATTTGAGTGTGGTATTGGTTGTCATCTTGACCTGCAATTGAAACCTGCTGCACCATTTATGGGCTGTGTAGCCTTGGGCAAACTCTATACTTTCTCTAACCTCAGTCTTCTCATATAAAAAACAAAGGTATTGTGGGGGGCTTGGGGGGTAACGTGGCGATAAGGACACATATGTAATAACTTAATCAATAATTAATTAATTAATTAATTTGAAAAAAAACAAAGGTATTAAAAAAAGGAATGCTATGTCTTAAATATTCCATAGGATTTAACATGTGTAAAGCACATAGTTCTTTATTATTATTTGTATTATCATGATGATGAATAAACATGGCCAGATGGTCAGCTTTAAAAAGTTGAGTTTTGTTTTTAATTAGAGGAAAGCATTGTCTTCACTTTCCTCCATTTTGCTGCTGTGTTTCCAATTTATAGTCTCACACACACACACACACACACACACACACACACACACACACACACCATTGTGGGACTTCTGTATCCTCCAGCAAATACAGTACCTTGCTAAGAGTAGAAAGGAGAATAAGGAAGGCAGAGGGCTGGAGTAACAGAAGAATGAGAACAAAAGGAGAAGGCTATTTTTAAGTTTATAAAACAACCTCCATTGACCTGTGGCAGAAATAGAGCCAGCATTGTGGAACTTCCCTGAGTGAAAAGGCAGACGGTTTACTGCAATGAACCACTAGAGATGGTTGGCGAGACGGCCTTGTCCAATCCTTAGGCGACACTCCCAGCTTGTCACACATCAATACCCAATGTCCAGCTGAAACCGGTTTGGCTCAGTGGATAGAGCGTCGGCCTGCGGACTGAAGGGTCCCAGGTTCGATTCCGGTCAAGGGCATGTACCTGGGTTGTGGGCACATCCCCAGTGGGGGATGTGCAGGAGGCAGCTGATCAGTGTTTCTCTCTCATCCGATGTTTCTAACTCTCTATCTCTCTCCCTTCCTCTCTGTAAAAAATCAATAAAATATATTTTAAAAAAAAATACCCAATGTCCAGGAATGACCACTCTGATTTCACCACCAAACAGATGAGACATCTAAACTAGGAACATATTAACTGAAAGCCAATTCTATGGGATTTTAAAAACGCTGAACAGGGAGAACCAAGAATAATTGTTCTAGGGCTTAATACTGGCCTCAAACGTGTGGTACGAATCCTGTGTAAACTGGAGATAATAACAGAGACCCCAGTGAACTTTGTAGGAACAAATTAAGTGCTCGGGAGTCTTTAGGAAACTCAAATGTCTTGTATTATTAAAGGGGAGGGAAAAGTAGGTCATAGTATCTCAGCTTAGAAGGGCATTCGGGCTGGAGAGCAGCTGGGCTGAACATCTGAGCCTGTTGAGAAAAAGAGGGTGCTTTAGGGGGCTACTGGGTGGAGAAACAGGGAACCCTCCCAAGAGCCTGTATCCAGATCTTCACAAAGTTTTCATTTGTGTTTAGAAGAGTATTTGTTATGTCTTTTTGAGGTTTATTATAAAAAAAGAATATTGTCAATGGACCAATTTCTAATGGGTGGATAGTTGGCAAAGCATTTATCATTGACTCATTGTTTGTTCCTGGGAAAGCAATTTAATCTCTATCACTTTAATTTATCTGTCAATAAAATGTAGGAAAGATTATGGCCTCACCCTGCATCTTAGAAATATGAGAACTGCTTGGGATGGCCGCTGTTCATCAGGAGAGCCGCCACTCAAGCACCGATGAGTTCCTCAGAGTCAGTAATGAAAACCTGTGCGGCCACAGCTGCCTGGGAGGAGGCAGAGGAATACCTGGGTGGAGGACTCTCAAGTGGCAATTCAAAAAGTCAGAAGGAAGAAAAGTGATTGAAAGAACTGAATGGACAGAGGGATCAGAGAAATTTGAGACAAGTTACAAAAAGAGAGAAAATATAAGAAACAGATGGAATCAAAGGAGGAACAAAAAGTAAAGCAGTCAGAAATATGGAGGGCATCCTTTTGGGGTCTTTCTCATTCATTAAATTTTAATTCCTTTTTCCTTAAATATATGATTTCAAAATATTGCCCATTTCTTTTCTGACTTTTAAAAATTGTCAGAAACTCTAATCTTTCGAAATATAGGTATTTTTTTTCGAAACTCTAATCTTTTGAAATATAGGTATTTTTTTCCAATTTCTGCTCTAAATCTTTAGCTCATTTATTTTCATCTTCACAAAACATATTGATTTCCCAGCATAGTGGCTTTGGCCTTCTATGCCCAGTTTGGGGAGAGGAGGAAAGTGGCATCTGTGCCATTGTCATGAGGATCAAATGAGTTAACACCTGTAGTCCTTGAAACAGTATTAGCGAGTCCTCAAAAATCTGAACTGTGTCTTACTTTATGTATGTTTATGTATTGCTTTAAAGGTACTGGGTATGTTTTTCTTCAAAAAAGCATACACTATTTTTACAATTGTAAAAAATGATCCTCCCCTCCCCCCCCAATGGGGTCAGGGCTGGGGCAGCACTCCCTCCTCCCATCTATGCATTCACTATGTTATGTGGACCTTGGCTTTCCCCACGCTCCTCCTGCTGCTGACCCAGGTGAGCTCCCGCTCTCAAAGCGACCCTGCCTCTGGACTCCTGCTCCTCCAGGGCAGGGCTCAAACCTCCTGGAAAACTGGGCAGTGGCGCCGTAACTGCTGGGCCACAGGCCATGTGGTTGCTCCCTTTCTCTCCCCTCTCATACCCCTGACTATTCCCTAGGCTCCTCCCCTCCCCACCCCATTATACTCCATTTCTTTTAGAGGACGTAACACAAGTTCCAACTACATGTTAGTTTGTTAAACAAATGGAGGCAGTTTCTATGTCTACTTGGTTCACTCTTGTATTTTAGCTCCTACCACCATTCTTGGCACAGGGATGGCACTCAACAACACATTTTAAATGGATGAATGAGCAAATGGCTACCCCCACTCACCAGGCCACTCCATGCTGCCTCACTCTACTGACTGTCCCAGTGACCCACGGTGGTGAGGTGCAGCCTGCGCAACAGGAGGGCTTATTTATTGTCCCTATGGCTTTGTTAGGTCTGATCGAAGAATTGAATTGATACTCCCTCCCCTGGGAACTGACCTTTAGGCCACTTCACAATGGACATTCCACTTGCTTAGACCACATTCCACTTGGTAAGACCATTATCTCTCCCCTCCGGAGTTTCCCGGAATCCAGACCTGCACAGAGAATTCTCCGCCCAGAAAAAGCCCGCCTAGAGCCCTTTAAAAACCTCTGACTCCCAGTCTTTGGGGGCTGACGTCATTTTGGGGCTAAGCCCATCTGGTATCCAGATGACCTAATAAATTGATAATTCTTCACCCCTTTTGGCCTCATGCATTCCTCCTTTGGGGACCCTAACAAGCTTGACCCAGAGGAGAAACTCACTTGCCCAGAACCATGAGAAGGGCTGGTTCCTGTGCCTCCATTCTAAAACTGTCCCTCCCACACCTGCAGGAACGGGAGCAAAAATCAGTGCACTTCACAGGAACTGGCTCTATCTTCTATCAGAAACACCTTCAAGCATGTTACACCCTCCAGCTCCCTCCTGCCACCCATACCAGACAGACCCTGCCTGAGAGGCATGGGGACTGGCCACCTTCCTACTCCTCCCTGAGGACAGGACCTCTCACCGGATAAAATGAAATGACAATACATTCAAACTAATTTTAAAAGCTTTCTGCGATTTGTAGATTAGCTACATCTAAGGAACTAAGATGCCTGTTAGAAAAAAACATGAATTTTCTTTCTAACCAAAATTACCCTCACGTATTAGGGTGTGTTTCTTTGTTTTGTTTTTGTTGCTTTTTAAATATATATTTTTATTGATTTCCAAGAGAGGGAGAGAGAGATAGGAACACCAATGATGAGAGAGAATCATTGATCCGCTGCCTCCTGCATGTCCCTCACAACCTGGGCATGTGCCCTGAATGGGAATCAAACCTGTGACCTCCTGGTTCATAGTTCGCCGCTCAACCACTAGCCACGCTGGCCAGGCCTCATGTATTAGTTTTGAGCTTCTTGGGTGTGACGTGCTAAAACAAATATTATCTTTCATGCGAATGTCGCAGTGAAAGTGAAATGCTCCAAACTCTAATCTTTCGAAATATAGGTAATTTTTTCCAATTCCTGCTCTAAATCTTTAGCTCATTTATTTTCATCCTCACAAAACATATTGAATCGTATTATCTAGTAGGAGGCAGAGAAGGTTGGCATGAATTTGTTCCCACTTTCTTTGCCACCCATGAGCTGTTGCTTTCTCACCTCTTAAATTTTGTTTTAATATGTTGAGTTCAACTTTGAGTTTCCCTATTGGGGCCTCAGGTTTTTATGTTATTTCCCAGCATGGGAAAAAAGAAAAGAAAAGAACAATTAGAATATGTGCTTGCTCACAAGTTATTCTTCTGATCCTAAGAACGGTATTTGCTTCTCTTTAATCCTCCCTTCTTAAGTATACCTCTAAGAGGTGACTTCATGCATCTTGCAACACACCACACCCTTTCAAGTGGAGGCTTCCGTGGGTGGGAACTAAAACCCTGTGTTGCTTTGCACAATGCTACCCAGAGCCCTTATAGAGAAGACAGGCACCGGCCACTGCCTCTTACTCCCTCTGCCAGTTCCTAAAGTCACGAAGCATGACCTGTATGTCCTAGACCAGGGGTGGGCAAACTTTTTGACTCGAGGGCCACAGTGGGTTCTTAAACTGGACCGGAGGGCCAGAACAGAAGCATGGATGGAGTGTTTGTGTGAACTAATATAAATTCAAAGTAAACATCATTACATAAAAGGGTACGGTCTTTTTTTTTTTTTTTAGTTTTATTCATTTCAAATGGGCCGGATCCGGCCCGCGGGCCGTAGTTTGCCCACGGCTGTAGACTCTATAGAAAAGCAGGAAGAGCCAGTGCCTAGGGATTTTTCTACATTTGCTTAGTGTCATTTGAAACTACTGTAAACTTGGTTTCTCTACTTGAAAAGATACCCACTGCCATGGCGGATGCCCAGGGCTCTAGGACTCATCCAGATGACTGCATCCCACTGTTATTTCTACACCTGCAGGGCTCATCTTAGCACAGATTCCTCTGTGTGAAGTCACCTCTTCCCTTCTCCTTACCCCTTTTCTCCAACATTAATCAGTCTTTGGAGTCTGAGAGAATTTTGTCTAGCAACACTTGAAAGTTTTTTACTCACTCCAAAAGAGAAGCTGGCAGAACAAGAATGTTATGCTGAATTCAGAACAAACTCAAGCAAATGCAGTAACACAATTTTTAATATTTTTTTGAATTCAACTTTTAGCTACGAAAAATATAGCAGAGAAAGGATTCAAGGAAGGACAAAAAAAGAGAATGAAAAGTATACTGAGTCGTTTGCCAGGACCCCACCGAGTTCTTGTTTTTCCCCTAATATTGTCCACTTCTTAAATATCCTTTCCTAGTTCCACTCGTTCCTCATCTCTTGGAATCCTTTCTGTATCTCCACTCTGCACCTCTCCTCTAAACTTCCAACTCATCCCCTCTTAGATGTTTAATAGGCACTTCCAGCAGCATGCCCAAAACCGAGTTCGGATCTTTCCCTAAAACTGCTCCTCCCACGGTCTTTCCTAACCAGTTAATAGCAGTTCTTTAATCCAGTTGCCCATGCCAAAATCCTTGGAGTCATCCTGGAGTCCTCTCTTTCTTCATACCCAACACCCAATTCATCAAGAAATCCTTTGACTCTGCCTGTAAAATAGATCCAGAATTCGGCTACTTCTCATACTTACACTGTTACCACCTGGGTCCAAGCCACCACATCTCTCACCTGGATTATTGCAATAGTCCCATTACTGGCCTCCTGCTCCTACACAGACTCCTTACCTTCTATTCTCAGTAAAGGAGCTGCCAGAGTAATTATAAAATAAAATTTAAATGTTGAAATATATGAATAGCCAATTTCCAAAAGAGTAAATTTATCTGTCCAGTATACATATGAAATATGTTCAACCTTATTAAATGAATATGCAACTAAAATGATGATACTCTCCAATTGGCTCCACAAAAAGTAAAAATACCTGGTAATATGAAGTGTGATTCTTAAGGAAATGAAGCTGTTAAATACCCTGATTGAGTGTATGCACTGGTCCAACTACTTTGGAGAATAATTTGCAATATCCACTAAAGCTGAAAATATATGTATTGTACAACCTAATAGGTCTGTTTTTAGAAATATACCTAGAGAAACTCTGATATTTGCACACAAAATTGTAGGCAAGCATATTCATTGCAGCTTTGCTTTTGATTGCAAAAAATAATGAGAAAGAATTTAAATGTACATCAACAATAGAATGTATAGTAAGTTGTGATATTATATGCATTATATAATATCATTAAATTCATCATAAAGACATACCTGTGAATTTCTAAAAAAATAATATACAAAGCCATATATTGAATAGGATATTAATTACGCTAATTATTATAATAATACAAAATTTCATTTATAAGTATAAGCAAATCTACTAAAAATGTAAGACACATATATGGAAAAAAATACATATGCTCTGTAGTAGATGACAAAAATGGCTACAATTTCCTCCTCTCTTAGAAATCCACTCTCTCTTACAATACAACTTTACCATTCCTTCTACCAAGAAGCAAAGTCTACTTTCCCATCTCTTGAATCTGGTATCTTTGACACTCATTCTCACCAACAGAATGCAGTGGAAGAGATGTTGTGCCAGAAGCCCTACATACTTCCATTCTACTCTCCCTCTTAGAACCCTCCTACTACCTTGTGAATAAGCCTGGGCTAGCCTGTTGAGTGATGAGCAACCCATGGCCCAGTCAACCTCGTTGCCCCAAGCTACA